TATGAGGTCCCTAGGAATTCTCTGCTTATTTATACTTAATCTATCTACCTGGGGCATTCTTCATCTTATGCACGTTAGTACCATTAAATCCAACATCAGTATCTATCTCTAATAACATTTCTGGCTCATGACTAACTGACATTTGCGGCGTCTACAGGTGTCCCTCTGTGTGACAAGTGACTAGAATATAATTAAGAAGCTACGTAGGAGTGAATTTCGAATATGCCGAAAACCAACTAGTTCGAACTAATTGGTCACTTTCTACATTATTGGAATCGGAATATTTGTTTATTTTACATGTGGGATTCCAAAGATAGGCGTCCACAAAAAAGAAAGATCGGTGTTAACTAGGAAAGATTATCGCGCTGTTGAACTTAAGGGAGGATCCAGTGTTGGAACTAGAACCGGAGGCTATCATTAAAAGTTTAACCTATTTTCTAGAGACAAAGCCTTGCCTCTTTCCCAGATGATGGGGCACTGTGGTAGCAAGACATCGTGCTATGATGACGTGATAGAATAATAATGCTCAGCTGAGAGCCGCTTTCACGAGATGTGTAGTGACTTTCCACATAGGTACTTAGTTCCCAAGGAGAAACAAAAACAAGATGATGCTCCTGCCCGAATAGGAGAGGGCTGTAGAGGTTTAGTGCTGAAAAGTTTTCCTGAAGGAGTCGGATGTGTTGTCTTCTCGAGTCGATAGAGCTTTATCGTCAGTGAAGTATCGGAACAGATGGACGCTATGTAGAAAGGAGGGAGGGGATACTCGTGACTTGACCCAAAGGAAAAAAAAGAAGGCTACGTAGATTCGATAATAATACGGATCCAGGGTTAACCGTAGTCACGCACAAATGCGAAGATCTAGCATGACAATCAAAAGTCCAAACCCGTGCTAGTTGTCAGAGTCATCAGATCACATACTACGTAAATTATCAATTCACGAGTGAAACAAGACAGGTTAAGTTGTTTCGTAAATCATACCACAACACACCCGAAATTCTACGTATGCTTAATTGATTATAAAAGGTTCTCTACAAGCCTAGAAGCTACGGGCCAGCATGCTCTAATAACCCCTATCCTCCCTACTCGAGGGCGTAGCACTTCTCGACGCTCTGAGCATCGTTACCCCACCAGTTCGGCATCGTGATGACCTTGCCGCTGCCGAATATGAGGAAGATCAGGAGCATGTTGAGGTTGAAGCCGGCGTCGAAGGCGGCAGCGAGGATGAAGTTGTACTTGGCCCAGACCTGGTACCGGTACCGGTAGGCCCAGTACATGACCACAAAGCCGCCGATGAAACGAGAGACATACCCCGTCGACACGTTCCCGTAAAAGATCGATGCTCCGCTGAAGAAGATGGTCGTGTTCCAGAGGTGGAACTTGGCGCGCGGGAAGAGCCGGTGTAGTAGGTAGATGAGGGCCGGCAGGAGGGCGCCCACGAGAAAAGCGTACGGGATCGGCCGCCACTGCTCTTGTTGGAAAAGTTTTGTTGGCCCCTTTTTACGACATGTTGCGTTAGTGACCTATATCTCTGCCCCGCGAGGGATGGTGATGTGGGAGAACTTACAATGAGAACATATTGTACGCCCATCGTCAAGTAGCCCGCAAGACTCTGGCCGGTCCAAATATGTGCTGGGTCCTCGACAGCACCAGTCAGATAGTCAAACTTGGTGTTAAGGACCCAACGCATAGCAGCATAGTTTATAGGTACACCGAGCGTAATGCCGAAAACCTGCGAGAAGAAAACTGCTCGTTGCGGGACGTGTAGATAGTGTCCGATTTTTTGATCCTGGAGCATGTATTGTGCTCGATACCATGCGTCACCAGCTATCGAGCCATAAACCTGGAAGTAGTGTTAGTCTATACATGGTCCTACCCTTCATAATAGAATTACTCACACTGGCCCCAATAGGGTTTCGGTGGTGACTTAGGCCTTGAACCATAGTGCCATAAAGCAATTCGTTGAAAGTACCAATTGGCAACTGGAAGTTGCTCACGGCATAGAGCCATCCTAGCGGTATAACAACCACTGCTCCTGTCGCAAGGGCCACGAGGTAGGTCCACCAGGGAATAAAGAGTAAATCCAAGCCCACGATCGTCATGATAGACACAAAAGCAGCCGTGAATAGGGCCACATACCACCACAGCGGGACTTCTTCATAGGACCGCATGAGAACATTGAGTCGGTCGGTATATTGGTGATTGATACCCTGACCCGGATTGTTCCGCCTCGCGCGGAACTTCTTGTAGGCTTCTCTAATCTTCGAAGCGCCGAAGAATGCGATCCAGGAATATGCGGAAATGTAGGAAGCATAGTCAAAGAAAATCGACCACAGGTAGTGCTCCCCTACATAGATCGGCCCGTTCTCCTCGTACGCAGTCTGGTTCAAGACGTTTCCGGCCGTGACTAGCGAAGAGACGGGGTATTTCTCCCCGCCTGCGGTACAAGCCCGATTCGTCATTAAGCAATGATGGTAAGAGCCCAAGCCTCCCCATTTGGCCGCGGGCAGCAGAACCCAGCAGCTCATGACGAACGAGCAGAACAGCACGACCTGCGACCACCAAGGGCTCAGGAACAATGGTACGCCGGCGTTGTAGTTGGAGATGTTGGCCCAGTCGAAGCTTAGGTTCAGGAAACCCATCCCGCCGAGGCCGGAGCCAATGAAGTTGGCCACGGCGTTGTGAGGGGCGACCCAGCAGAGGAAAGCCATGGAGGAAAGCATCGGGAAGGCATATTCAGGCAAAAACTGCCACAGCGTGATGCCGAGGAGCACCAACCAGAAAACACGCATTTGCTTGCGCGCAGCGGGCGTCGGGTGCTTGTTCTGTTTGTTCTGCGTCTCGAAGAGCGCCGTCTGGCAAAGCGCCTGGAACCACGGGTACGCGGGCTCGTAGAGCAGCACCTGGCGGGCGATAGCAGCGAATGCGTACCCCGTCGCGTCAATGGACCACATGAAGAAGATGGCCGCCGCGGGGTGGAGTCGCTCGTTGAAGTAGAGCTCGCCGACGGCGATTGGCGTCGTGGCGAGATTGCCAGTCGCGCCTGACGCCGCGGTGATAGTTATCAGCACATGTTCTTTGACGGACCACGGGCCGGGGTTCATGTTGAAGTGCGAAGTGGTGAAGGGGATGCGGATCTGACGGTTCGGAAGAACACGGGCGAGCCAGAGGCCGAAGTAGTTAGATGCGATCTGGACGAAGAAGACCGAGTACGGGGCGTACGTCGTCCGGAAACTGTTCATCTGAGATAGGAAGGCACCTGGTACGACGAATATGACGGACAAGACGAAGTACCGGAAGGTTAGGGTAGGTAAACTAGTATCATCATGAAGACTGACGACTCGCCTGACTTCGGGAGGGATCTGTGAGATTTCTGGGTCGTCCTCGGCCTCGAGATCTGCATCTACTTCGACGGCATCTTCAACAAGAAGCTTTCCTCCCACATAATCTGGCAGTTTCGCGTCTCCCCTTTCGTCCGGGCCTTTGCTCTTTTCGGACTCCAAGTCAGTCGAGGCAGTTACTCGTTGGTGTATATTATCAGTGTTTGGATGCCCAGTCGTTGCCAATGCGCTAGTAAACTTGGCTTCAGTCGTCTCGGGATCGCTGCCCCTGGGGTTGCGGGAAGACATTCTTGGCTATCACTTGGCCCTGCAAGTCAACACCGATACTGTCACGCTAGAGAGTCAAGCGGCATCGAGTCCTCTTTTCGTAACTCCTGGGTTAGGGTGGCTGCTGGTTTAAATACCGAAGCAGTGAAGATGCGCATTTTGAGGCCTTTGAGGCCTGTATTACTCCGCCAACCGCCGGAACTTTATCCTGTGAAGAGCCAATTACGCCATATCCGCTCACAAACACGTTTCTGGGAGGAGTAGACCATGCCCTGTCAATCATAGTGTCTGGCCCGTCGCAGGGGGTATAGTATATTCGATGATTGGCTTGCTAATGGCCATCCACCTAGATGGGTGAAACTTTCCAGGGCCTATCACGGGAAGATCCTCGCGTTACTAGATACTATGTAGGTAGGTAGAAGAAAGAGTATCCTAATACAGTTAGATATGGTTACCTTGCAGTAAGATGCGCGAACGATGAGCTTGAACTTCACGCTAAACAACTATTAATATACTTTGTATTGTGCTCAGATTATGTTTCTTGCACTGCGGGGCAAGTAAGTGTTTAGAACACCGTCTGTACTGTAACGTTCACATCTTGAGGGGTTCAAAATCCCAGTGGCGTACAAACTCTCACACCACTCCCTAGATTCATTATGCCATACTGATCTGTGCGAGCCCATCACGGCAACCCGTGGGCTTACAGTTACCGCCAGTCAGGTATGCAACTTTCTAGGTTTCCTTAAACGGCATGCGGTGGTAGGACGATTGGGGTTGTTCGTGTAAGTACTCATTCTGCGAGAAGCTGAACATAGGTTACGACCGATGGTCTGGACCCCAGAATGTTACATGATCCACATGGACCTTTCCTCTCTGGTCTTCTTTCTCGGCATGAACCGGTTATAGTTGGACTATCGGCGAGTTCAGGTTCGATTCCTGTTAGCGCTATTGGTACCTCGCTGTGTTCTTTTCTTTATCTGTGTCAGCGGTTTATTATTGCTCCTTCTTTAATGTAGATGGTTACTAACACCACGGCGGATTAGCTTGGCAATATCCAGTCTAATGACCAATTATATCTGACTCGTTTAATACAGTAGAGCAGGCAAGACATAGAGACAGTTGGTGTAGTCGGCATCGGTATTGAGAATTAAGACGTTGTGTCATCAACAGTAGTACAGGTGCGATAATGATAGTAGCGATAATGAGAGTGCCGGTGCAGAGGCTGATATAAAGAGCAAAGCGGCAATTACGGCATCGGCATTGGCGTTGGGGTCCGCGGCGGCAGCGGCAGTGGCAGTGGCAGTGGTAGTGATAGCTACTGGGAAGGACATAATAGAGGATCTTAATTTGGCTCCATCCCATGTGTCCACTCAATTAGGGATGGACCTAATCAACGGTCGGTTAGCTCAGTTGGTTAGAGCGGTATGTAACAACAAGTGGTGTAATTTCGCCGTTCTAAAAATTACTAACTTCTCCTAGTCGTACTAATAATGCGAAGGTCATGAGTTCGACCCTCATACTGACCATTGAATCTTTTTGCCCTTCCCCGGCTTATACTAGTTAATAATAAGCACTCGCGGCTCGGCTTAGGTTTAAGTTCGTGAATATTAATAAAATAACAAACTTACTCACTTATTTACATGATTATTATGTGTTTTGTTTTATAACATTTAATTGAATACGTGTATGTTCTCTTTATACCATTGTGTGTCGGTAATGCCTCCGAGATGGTCGTGGCCATCAGCTCGGCAGGCGTTCTTTACTCATAACAAATAGGAGTTGATTACATTGTGGGATAGTCTCTTGAGGGACATATCCCTCACTTCAGCTTACTTTTAAGTAAGTTGCCCGGTGTCTTTTGTTTTGACTTCAATATCCCTTTGCTTGAATGTGGGCAAGCAATCTCGAAGCTATGGTGTCGATCTGTCGACTCCTCTTATACTGTCGAATTCTCTTCAAGGGCGCTTGAGGGGATGAGCCTCCGTATTGAGCACATACTCATTTAAGTTGACCAGCTCCAGTGGGGAGAAAATTAGATAAAAATATTTCAGAGTCTCGGAAAGCCAGAAGCTCTTCTCACATTTAGTATCCAGGTCTCGTCAACGGAATATTGAGTTAAAACTAATGCTTACCTCCATTGTGTCTATTTTCTGCGTCTTTCCACCGCTGACAGTAACGTCCGCGATTCCCGAGAACGCTAGCTCAGTCTCTGTCGCTTTGCGGATAAACTTGAACATCCGCCAAGCCATCTCCTGGTAGTCTGGATTGCCGGTCATGCGATACATAAGGAAGATGCTTTCGATTGCTTCCGGACGTAGTAGGTATCGAGGGTCTCGGGCGTTTTGAAATCCTTTCTTGAGGGACTGGTCGCCTTTGGCCAACCACTCTCCTTCATCCCACGCACAAGCCTTCAATGAATGACATGGGATAAGGCCAAATATCTCAGGCATAATACCAGTATTCATAGCGTCGTAGGCCCAGAAACATCCTCGTGTAATCTTCTCGCCGATATGAACATGCTCTTTGATACCGAAGAGTTTGCCACCAAGACCGAACATGCCTAGGCGAGGCCAAAATTAGTTGCTGCTAGAATATCGAGTCTTGATACTTTATGCACAACGCTGATATCAGAAGGAATTGGAAAGTTCCTGGCTCAATCAACATCTATGGCCACAAATACTGTCAAATTTACCTAATAGAAACTTACCACCAGCGAAGCATGCTAAGTGCTGACCCTCGGGCTGCAAGTCGACCGAGCTATCTTCATTTACGAAGGCATTGCCAGTGAATAGTATATCCGCATTATCTGGAACCATTGGCCTAAACATAAGGTATTTTGTCACCGCTTCCATATAATCACGGTAAAGCTTTTCGTATACTGGCTCGAGGCCCCCCAAGAGGGCGTACGTCTTTGGAAGTAGCTCGTATAAAGAGTCTGCCAGAGCCCCAAGTGTGAAGCCGTTCTCCTGGTCGAATACAAGATTTTCCATGTCGAAGAATGTTGGCCACATTCCAGGTAGCTTTGTAGAATTCTGGGTCTGGTCTAGAAGTCTCGTTATCCTGTCGACGGCATCGTAATATTTATTATCTCCTGTCAATTGAGCAAGCCTGGTGAACTCCAGTGACGAGGACGCAACAGACGCAGATGGATCATGTGTGCCGGGTCTCAGGAGCCCTTCCTTTGCTTTGTTGAAGTCTAGCCAGAATGGCGGCATGCGGTTCGGCGTATCGAAAGCCATAAATAACATATCGCCAAGTTCGATGGCTTTGCGGAGAAGCACGGATTCCTGGCTTAAATCGTAGGCGCTTAACAAGCCCCCGAGATGGCGTATGGTCGTTTCAAAAAAGTTGCAAGCTGACTCTTTTGTATCAGACCAGTCGATAGTCGCTACGATGGCCGTGGAGTTGTAAAACTCATCCTTTAAGCCCATTATCCATAGTGTGTCTAAGGAATCGACGAGAGTAGCTGCCCACCCCCCAAATGTATTTTTACCTTCACCAGAGACAGGCGCTAGCTCGTCGAACAACCACGCGTAAATCTTGTAGCTCGACCAGCTCTTGACAAATGCATCCTTCACTTGCTCCCGCCGATACTCGAGGGCTTGGTGTCGCACCTTGTTATTGGCGCGGAAAGGAAACTGGACCGCAGGCAGTTTTCGAGGTTTGCCCTTTGGTAGTGCTGTCAGCTCTGAAGCCGGAATAGGATATTTCTGTGGTAGTCTCGACCAGTCGAAACTGCTCGTCACATAGGCGAAACCAGGGACCTTTGGTATGTTATCGTATTTTGAGTGAAGGTGGGCAATGGTGTACAACCCTAATATCAAAGCCAAAGATGTCACCAATCGCCTTGGTCGCTGTATCGTGACTGTCTTAGTGTTGGTCCAAGTACAACGTTCGCTATAATTTCTTTGATATCCCACCTGAAAGTGCAATAAGAAGAGATAAGTTTTCGATCCGTAATTTTCAGAAAATACGAAGCATATGCCGAGAATATTGTCGGTTAGGTGTTGCAAACGTCATGCTCCAACTTATTACATTAGGATTGCCAGAAGTGCAGCCGGGAGGAATGCTGCTGGTTACACTGGGGAAGTTTTATTCAATTCCAGAACTATCCAGATAGCAAGGGTATTATCCGATCAGTAGAATAGTTAATGTGCAGATCTCAGTTCTCGAGTTTGGTCTATATTTTGGGGCCGCATGTGGGTGGACGAAGCCGACGCTCTTGACGGCTCTTATCGTCTTTGGCGGGTTTGATCAACAGAAGACTATTAGACGGAACTATACTCAACAACTAGACTTTAGTAGCTCCACCGGTTGTTGGACTGGTATGAAGGTTCATATCTCAAGCATAAAGCTCAATGTTCGCAACGGCGATGAAGTCGAAATACTTCCTCCCAATACCTCAATCGACACATGTATCGTGCCACAGCGCCACCTTCTTCTTGAAGCACCGGGGACCGTTGTCGAAGCTTTCGAGAAGGCCACAGGTATGCTGAATCGTGGAGTGTCCTTCGGTCTTCATTGGGGCTCATTTATTTATGATGCAACTGATGCGTAAGTTGTGCTTTTACTCAATGCTACTTCAACACCAAATATTTTCTACCTATTCGATTAATTAATTCTGTCCTCTCCAGCTTTGATGGTGACTTGACAATATCTCTATCTATTGGCCTAGATATACGCATTCCCAATAGTCAGTTCTTAGTTCCCCATGTCGACATCGACCTAAACGGCTCTCGTGTATTCAATACAACAGAACGCGAGCTCTTAATCGCCGCCTTGGCAGATCAACCAGCAACACTAGGCCGCTATTTCCTCACTGCTGCATGTCTAATGGTGGACCTAGACTCATATAAATTTACATTATGGCAAGCTAATCCCACGTCTGAGAGCTCACTGGTACCAATTGTTGAAAACCCCAAGGCTCGCTGCAGGAATGAGTCCACATCTAGCACAAACTCAACCGGGTCATCCTCTACCAGTTCATCATCGTCGCGGCTCTCAGGGGGTGCAATCGGAGAAATTGTGATTGGAGGTGTTGTGACTATTGTGGTAATTGCGTTGATGCTATTTTATTTTTATAGGCTAGAACGGCGAAAAGCTGATCAAGTGACTCACCCGGAGACGGGTGTCCTACAAGATCACGCAATTTCTGAGGCTCCAGGGTCAGTTAAATCATCTTACACGCCGCTTCAAGAATTGCAAGGCTCCCGGCCACTAGTATCGGAGGTGGCAGGACAGCAGCAATTTATTCATAAAATTGATAGTAACGGTAATGTAGATAGAAGAGTATATTGAAATAGCGGTGGCGTGTTCTACTATGCTGTTGTGCAATGATGCTGATATGATTATCAGAATATTCTGTAAGGAAGCCTTTCACATGTCCTGGGCATCTTTCCAGTCCAACCCTAAATTAACGCTCATCTGAACAATCCGAACTGCGACGCCGATGACACTGATTATTCCGAATGGATCGGCCATGTCATCTGAAGTATTCTCAACCAATGTTAACTGATTTCAAGCCAGAGTTTGAGGGACGAGAGGGGGAAGAAAGGGGAGGGAGAAACCATATTTGGGGTGGTATTAAGCTTCGGGTACCACTGGCCGATCGATTGCATGATACACAGCCACGGACCAAAGTAATAGAGGCCATACGTAAGTAATATGTTACACAAATCGATGGATATTCTTCATCTACTTGACGCCGACCTAAGTAAATATACCTGGACTGCGAGGGAAAAAAAAACCAGATGCATAGTCATTTCTAGTATTCATGCCATCAAGATGCCTAAGTGTCGACCCCATAATCAAATCTCCGAAGAACCCCTACGCTGAAATATCCTACTCCCGGGGCATCTTAACGCCCACGACTCTATAAACCAAAAGCCCAAACCCAGCTCCGAACCGAACGAAGCCCTTCCTCTCCCCTTCCTCTCAGGCCGCCTTCCGCAACGAGTTATAATGCTCGCCGAGCCCGTACCCATGGCGATAATACGCGAGCCAGATAGTTCTCCTCCGTCTTCCCTCTTTTCTGCTTCCCCCCTCTTCCTCCCCTTCGTCCTTCACCTCTGAACCACCACCACTACTACTACTCGGCTCGATCGTCTCCGTCCTCCCGTCCTGTATGACCTTGATCTCGACGCCGTACGCGTTCGCCAGCGCGAGCAGCTCCATCTGCCCGCCCCACGCAGCCGTATCCCTGATCTTCTTTATATAGCTCTCCAGCCCCCCCTCTTCCTCGTCGTCTCCGAGGAAGGGCGCGAAGTCGTCCGGGTGCGCCCACATGTAGTCGGTCGCGACGCCGCGCACGATCCTGTACGGCGGTGGGGTATCGTTTTTCTTTTCCACTACCACCACCTCCTCCACCTCCTCTTTCCCACCCGCCGCTTCGTCGTCGGTATTGGTCTTGGTGGAACGGCCGGGATGTAACGGCACGTCCTGCTGCTCCAGCTGGTCCGCGACCGCCGAGAACAGGCAGTGCCCGTCGGGCCGGATCTCCCGCTCGACGAGCCCACGGGCCCGGAAC